TTTCTAGTCAACAAGTGCTAGAGACATTTGAATGACTTGGTAGAATCCACGTGTCTGCTTCTTCTGTGTAGGACAGTGCTGAACACAAGCTACACCTGTATGAGAACCCTGGATTTACTGGTAGAAAGATGGAGATTGTTGATGATGATGTGCCCAGTTTGTGGGGCCATGGTTTTCAGGATCGCGTAGCAAGTGTCAAGGCTCTTAATGGAACGTAAGATCCTCCCAATGCCTCAATTTCATCCATAAGTCACTCTTGTTTTCTTGCAGTATCTGGAAAATATTCCATGAGAAGTATCACAGCTTGTGTGATTTCCCCTCTCGTAGATGGGTTGGCTACATGTACCCAGGTTACAGGGGGCAGCAGTTTATCTTCGAGCAGGGAGAGTTCAAGCACTGGAACAACTGGGAGGCCCCTGCACCCCAGATCCAGTCTGTGCGGCGTGTGCGGGACATGCAGTGGCATAAGAGGGGCTGTTTCACAGTTCTTGACCCAGATCCAGCTCCCAGTCCTAACCCCAACCCCGCTCCAGCACCTCCTGCACCCCTTGCCACAGCTGGAGCCAGCTGAGTGGGACCCTCACCTGCCTCCCAACCCTTCCTCCACAGCCTCCTCCACACTGCAGAGAGTGCCTGCCCTCTGCCTTAACCTTACCATAGTAAACATGGCCCAGTGCCATGTATGTTTCAGTGGCGAATAAAAATGATTTGACCAGGAGTTGACCCTGTTTGTTGGTGATGTTCTAAGCCAAAGTGGAAATGGCTAAGATATTGAAGATTTAGAAAAACTACTTTTGGAGATGGAAAACTGTGGCCAGATGTTTTTCCTGAAGATAAACTGTGTTTAGAACTGGATTTACTTCCAAGGTATTTGTGCCACATTTACTATTTGTATTTTCCCAGTTTAGTCACACAGCTCATCCAGCAATAGGACATGACTTATTCAGCAAACACATGGACATGCTTCTGCTTAACAGCAATGAAAATGATGTCATGCTGTCCATATGTTTGCTTTTAAAACAGAGTGCAGCACATTCTCTACCGCAGCAATCACAATGCATTTGATAGTTAATGATCCTCATGGTGCATGGTCACTGTGAAGTCACCATAATTATATAAAACTAGTACTGACTATATTAAATAAACTATTCGTATTTGAAACGTATCTGAAAAACATCTAAACAATGGGCAAAGATCAGTGTTGCACAAGACATTATTTTTTATTTTGACATAAAATTGCACATGCAGGCTATCATAAATGTTGGCATAATATTCAAAAATATAAATTATTCCCTTCATAACATTTTAAGAAAAGCCTTTTGTCCATAGATGAAAGCACATCTGGAGCATGTGGAACATGCTAACATCTATCGTTCTGACTCCAGAAATAAAATCATTCCAAGGCACTTGCAGTCTGGCGTCACATCATTCCACACGCCTTAAACATTTAGTGCATTTCTGATATAGTCCAGTATCTCTCAATGTGTGTTTCAGGGCTGTAGTGTGACTTTCAGTCTTAAATGCAAGTCTGTGGGTTTTCACTGTCACATAAAGCATCCTGATCACCTGTCCCACATGCACTGATGTGTAGGGACACAGGTCAGAAGGCCAAGTCACACCGGTACCCCTGGAGCAACACAGGTGGTGGGGCGAGGTGCACAGCAACAGAGGGCATGAACCAGGAAGAAAGTTCATGGGCCCGCAACATGAATCTACACGATGAGAATACTGATACTGCTATCAGCAACAAAGTATGCACATATTACAGTGGCTGGTTGTTTGCTTAATGGTGCAGTGTAACTATGATTGTGATCACTGCTGCCGCTCACTGCCTGAAGATTCCCACCAGCTGATGAAGAGAAGGACTCAGACGCCTTACTAAATAATAGTAACATCTCATTTTTGTAGAACAGTTCTACATACAAAACCATTGGGGTGTTCAGAGTAAAATGCATTATAAATACTTTGTTAAGAATATGCTATTTTTACATCATCACATGTGTCTCCTGCCCATTATGAGCTATGAAAGGCACCTTCCCATTGTATTAGAGCAGGAAAAAAGTGTTTTAACCAGTATTTTATTGCTGATGCTTGTGTAATTACACCATAATACATCACATTTATGACCTCCTGTTTTCCAGTTAAGTAACAACAGACTGTAAGAGAATTGTAATGGAGGCCAAGGAACCCAATAACAGATAATATATCAGTTATTTTAATGCATCAAAAGTACTTGTTCTGCAGGAAAATGACCCCTGAGACTGAAATGATTATATAGGCTGTTAGAGTTTTAATTCTGCTGCATCTATCCACAAGCAGTATCAGATTAACTTGACAGGAAAGAAGTATAACTCAACAACAACAAAGTTCTGCTACACACGTTCACATTTTTGGAACTAACTGGGGAAAAGTCTCTTTGGTCGAACTACTAACAGCTCATAGAGAGCTAAGATTTTCCATAGGCACCAACCAGACATGATTTGCTTTAAGGGGTTAAAAGGCAAAAAGGTCAGATTATTTGTCGGTGGTGTTTATGTTACATTTCTGTAAAGTAACTACACCTATCAGATGAATATAGTGGAGTAAAGAATACAAAGTTTCTCTCTGAAATGTGGTGAAGCTGTAGAAAGTAATACAAAATGGGAATACTCAAGTAAAGTACATGAAGTAACTTAAAAATGTTTTTAAGTACAATGCTTAAGTAAATGTACTTATACCACTGCTTACATAAAATAACATATTGCCACAGAGATATTTCATTTCCAGCAGCAGCCCGTGTGGTCAATAGGTTTAACTTGAATCTAGCCCCAGGAACTGCATTTTTTTTATCTTTGCAAACAGCAGCTGCAACTGACTTTTACAATGAGCAACAATGCAGTTTTCTAGAAATTAAATCCTAAATAAACCTGCACTTGTGGAAAAACTCAGTGGCATTTAAACCCATCTTTTACAGTCCTCGTCTCTGCCTCTCGGTCTCATTGTAGGTATGGGACTCTTGGCACTGTTTCTGCTGAATCATGTGGATATTGAACAATGAGTGGCTGCACAAAACTGACAACTAATGAAATAACTTTGTGTAACACCCCAGGGTGGGGGCTACACTGTGACCTCACATTTCAGCCTGCTGGGCCTATGGCAGGCCGATCTGCAGGCTGACTTGGAATCTCTGGGTACTGTTGGCAGAGTGTCCACCCCTGGCTGTCCTGTATATATTGAGCTCACAGTGCCATCACAAGCACACTCTCACAGACTACTGGTAAAAGGTTCATATCCATTGAGCTTTACTTGGTAAAGTTCATATTTATAATTTCTGTCGGTATCTGTTTTCTGTTTGCCACTCTGCTTTGATTTAAAGTATATAGCCTGTTGCATTGCTGTAACTATGTGTTCAGAAGGCTGTGAACTTCAGAAACTTGTTTTGGAGGGAGACGGATAGGTACTTTTGTACGATATACACTTGTATGTCAAAATAATCCAAACTTTTTTGAGTGGGATTAACAGCAGTTTCAACTGAACATATTTTAGACATTAAGATTTATAAGTTCTTAAATCATATAGACATTCACTTATATTTATCACAAACAATCTAATGAAACGTTGTCTGTTTCTTTTCAGTTTCATCCTTGCCAACCCACTCACTATGGCCACAGACCACCAGAACCCTGCCTCCAAGCAGCAGCAGCCACGCACCAGTGCGTTTAAGGTGAGAGAAAATACAAAGACAAGCAGAGAACCAATGCACTTAGAATATACAGTTTCCTCTTTGTAGTAAGCACTTGTGCACTTCCTAATTAAAGACTGGCACAATCTCAGAGCAATTGCTCGACAACACTCGCAGAGCTTTTTCAGTGTTTTAAAAACACCTCATCTCCTCTCTTCTCCCATTGATGCACAGCTGGTTATCTACGAGCAGGAAAACTTCCAGGGACACTCCCATGAGCTGACCGGTCCTTGCAGCAACCTCCAGGAAGCTGGGGTAGAGAAAGTGGGCTCTATACTGGTGCTGTGTGGACCGTGAGTGTGGGTCAGAGAACTAGAAAAGGATTCATAACTCAGCAGACAGAGAAACAGGGACTCACTGTGTGAATAAGCGTGGCATAGCTTAAAGCAAACAGACAAACAAATTAGTGTGTGCTACACTTATACTGGCCTGCTTTGCCCCCAGACCAACCACAGCCCCTTCTCTCTCCTCTGCCCCCTCAGATGGGTGGGATATGAACAGGCCAACTGTAAGGGGGAGCAGTATGTGCTTGACAAGGGGGAGTATCCTCGCTGGGATTCCTGGACCAACAGCAGGCGCAGTGACACCATTGTTGCATTCCGCCCGATTAAAATAGTAAGAAAACGTGCTTTTAATAGTTACATGCCCCCATCAGTTATCTCATCAGCTGCTTCACTAATCATCCTGGGTAATACTTTGCTACTCTCTCAGGACAGCCAGGAGCACAAGATTGTCCTCTATGAAAACCCCAGCTTTGCAGGGAAGAAGATAGAAATCATAGATGATGATGTCCCCAGCTTTTATGCACATGGCTACCAGGAGAAGGTTTCCTCTGTTCGGGTTCAGAGTGGCATGTGAGTCCATCCTCCCAGCAGATGTTCTATTATTACACATCTCTCATCACTGTCCTTTGACCTGGAACTGTCTCTTGTCTGTTTTCTTTCTCTGTGATCCTGGTGCACCAGTTGGGTGGGCTACCAGTACCCAGGCTACAGAGGCTATCAGTACCTGCTTGAAAAGGGGGAGTATAAGAACAGCGCTGAGTTTGGAGCCCAGTTTCCTCAGATCCAGTCAGTTCGGCGCATCAGAGACATGCAGTGGCATCAGAGGGGTGCGTTTCACCCCATAAACTAAGCTTGTGAATCCTTCCTGTAATGAACCCTGAGTTTACTCCACCTTACTCCCCTCTAAGGTGATACATAACCAACCATTTGCACCATACAGCATTTTGATATCTTGTGCAACAGCTGCAGTAGTGGCATTCTTTGAAGCAAACTAATAAATAATTGCTGCTTACATTTGACTTAGTTGTGTGATTTTACCTCTGTTTTAGCCTCTGCTCAAATTGTTTGCCAGACTTCTTACAACTCCTTGAAAGAACATCACAGAAGGATTTATAGTTATGTCAAGACTGTTAAATTATTTAAATGATCTATGTAAAAACGGCCTCACTGTCCATACTTATAAACAGCACTCATACCCTTCAGTTGGGATGCCCAGCGCAGCACATGAGCTAAGCAATTCGCACAGTCTATAAAACAAAAGCATCTGTAGGCCGTCAAGTTTCATGTGCATCGTTCTCCTCCAACAAATAGGTGGCGCTGCAGAGACTTGCAGCTGACGTCACTTCCCATTTTTCTGTGAAGTAGAGTGGCATGTGATGAACAGACTAGCTGTTTTATGTTGTTGTGTAATTAGCCTCATTGCTTTGTTAAGAAATATTTTATTTTAAAAGCATTTTCCTAATATACGTTCTTCCCATCTTCTCAGCTAAGACCTGTGCTTATCGGAAATTTGGTATGAAAATGTTACCTAATATAAATGTGACTACTTCAGGTTAACTATGCTATCTAGACTCTAGACTCGCGTTAACCGTCTGACGAAATTCAATTTTATATCTTTGGACTTTAATTATGATGTGAAACCTGATAGCTAGTTAGCTAACTGGCATTTTTTTCGTGTTACTGCATATTATCCTGTCATATGAAATTGTCAGTTTAATTGTGAGTCGGTTAAATTAGGGTTGTTTTTGTCAGAGCTGAAATGTCCAGTTGTAAACAGCTTCTCCATCTCTGTGCAGTGCATCCTGGGTAATTAATAACAGGACGCTGAAAAATAAAGTTATTTTAGCATGCAAACTGACATATTTGAGTATATTGACTTGTCTAGATACACATAAGTTACTACATAAACAAATCGTGGCTAATATTACTATGGCGTGTTGAATTGGGACACAAGGGGTTTGCTTGTATTGTATAACATAGCAGTGTAATTGTCACATTTGAGGAAGGATGGCATTTGAGATTTCAGTGAATGATAAACACGTTAGCTTTGTAGGTTTGTGGTCATTTATTTTTGGACTGTGATATGACTATTTGAAAACATTTGGATAACTAATTTTTAATATTGTTCAACAAACTTCTTCCAGCAGTCAAGATGCCTGTCCTGTGCAGCAGGTGTGCTGAGAGACGTGCTATGCTGAAGCGTCCAAAAACCGGCCATTCGTTGTGTAAGGAATGCTTCTTCTGGGCCTTTGAGGAGGAAGTGCATCAGACAATTGTGGCAGGGCAGCTGTTTAAAACTCGGGGAAGAGATGGGGTCCTGCCTCAGGAGGAAAGGACTCCACTGTGCTCGCACATGTAATGAAGCTCCTAAATGAGCGATACAGCTATGGCCTTGAGCTTATGCTTCTCTCAGTGGATGAGGGAATCACCGGTTACCGAGATGACTCTTTGGAGACAGTAAAGAGGAATCAGCAGCAGTATGAGCTGCCACTGAAGGTTGTGTCGTATGAGGAGCTGTATGGCTGGACCATGGATGCTATTGTGAAGCAGGTGGGACTGAAAAATAACTGCACGTTCTGTGGAGTGTTCAGGAGGCAGGCGTTAGACAGAGGAGCCATCATGCTCAAAGTGGACAAGATATGTACAGGTAACTTCACATCTAAATGGCATGATTAAAGTTTGAAGCCTGAAATATAACTTAGTCTTAATGTCAAAGAAGTACTTTGTTTGAATTTGTTTCATTGGGTGAATGTGTATTGTTTACACAGGTCACAATGCTGATGATGTGGCGGAAACAGTTTTGATGAACATCTTGCGAGGGGACATCGCTCGGCTGCGTCGCTGCACTGCCATCTCAACAGCCAGCGAGGGTGAAGGTGTCGTGCCACGCTGCAAGCCCCTCAAATATGCGTATGAGAAAGAGATTGTTTTGTATGCTTACTTTAAGAGGTTGGACTACTTTTCCACTGAGTGTATCTACTCTCCCAATGCTTATCGTGGCTATGCAAGGAACTTTTTAAAGGACCTGGAAAGTATAAGGCCCAGTGTCATCATCGATATCATCCACTCTGGGGAGAACTTGTCTGTGAGGGAGGGGGTTAAGATGCCTGTGCAGGGGACCTGTAGCCGCTGTGGCTACATCTCTAGCCAGGCACTGTGCAAGTCATGTGTGCTCCTGGAGGGCCTGAACCGAGGCCTGCCGAAGCTTGGTATAGGCAAACACCACCGCCTGCATAATAAAATCCTTGCCCAGCAGCCCTTTACTGAGAAGGAGGAAAGCAAGCTGAAACCAGTAGAGTTCTGACAATTATCCTCACTCATTTTATTTAGTATAACATGAAATTTTAAAATAAGCCACATTTATTATATTCTATATGAGAGAAGACTGGGCTCCAAAATGGAATCTCTTGTTTTCATTTATAATTAATTGAATAATTATTTTTTGTATTTTTGTGAGTGCCATTGTTGTGCATGTTTCTACTGCAGTGGAATCTCACACTGACGGCATGTTTTATTTCTTTTTTTTTTTTTTGCAACTTCCTCTTCCCAAGTTTAGCAGTCTCTAAGGTGGATATAATGACATTTGTGCTCATATACCAAGGTGTTTTGTGAAATATAATTAAATAAATGAGTTGTCCCATGTTTTCAGCGTTGATTCCATGTTTTACTTGTTTTTCTTGATCATGAGGAGGATCTTCTTCTTCTTTCGGCTGTTCCCGTTAGGGGTCACCACAGCGAATCATCTGTTTCCACCTAACTCTATCCTCGGCATCCTCTACTCTCACCCCAATTAACTTCATGTCCTCTTTTAGCACATCCATATATCTCCTCTTTGGCCTTCCTCTTGACCTCTTGCCTGGCAGCTCCATC